TTAACTAACTCCTCCTACAGATTTGATCAGATTGACTTTGACAAATTCGATCACTGCAGTCTAGACACATTGGTGATCAAAAGTTGTGCTATTTGTGTGCCTGTGACGACGTGTCGAATTCTGCCGATTGGCCATAAAACAGATAGTACTCCTATCTTCAGTGTACATGGTCCAATCTCAATGAAACTTCACACATTTGATAAGAGTCCCGCCCTGAACACGTTTACATGACAATATTCAGATATAGTGATAACGCCACCTACTGGCAACAGGAAGTAAGCACTGCATAGCGACTTTGATCTGATTTACGTGAAATTTTCATTTTGGTCCGCAGCACGCCCCGAGTTGCGTGGAGTGCGAGGTCCCGCCCAACGCTACTTGCAGCTTTAATATTTTAGTAAAATCTTATTTTATTTATGTAATATTGTTTCAGCTCGTTTTGGGATTATTTATTTTACTTCCACTCTGCTGTGGTGGGTACTGCTAGTTTCAAATGGTCTCTTCAGTTTTTATGTTTATTTTATTTGATCATTATTGCAATACATGTTTTGCATGCACTGTCCTAATGGCCTAATGAAAAAACCTACGCCAGGATGAGGCAATAATTCAGACATGCTGTGGCTGAGCTACTTTGAACACTGTTGTAATCTATTGGAGGCTCTGTCCGGTTTTGCAGGGACACATCTGCAGCTGTGATAAGCCATTCTCCCAGCAGCAGCTATGACACGTCGGTGGAGGCTCGAATCCAGAAGGAAGAAGAGGAGATTCTCATGGCCAATCGGCGCTGTCTGGACATGGAGAGCAGGTAGAGTACTTTCAACATACATGCGCATACATTAGCTCTCTCCAGGTCCAAATCAAACACCCAGGACCTCACATCAATCTACTTGTCACTTACATGGGCTCTGACAGAACAGCAGAAACCTCAGAACTGTCCAAAAAGGCTTGAAAAAAGTATGTTGTTTTCATCCACGATTCATTGTTGACTGGTTGAATCATAGTGGTTAAAAAAATGCTGCACACTAGTGTGGAGAAGTTTTCATACTAAGCCTGTTTTCCTGTGTGCTTGCCCGTTTGGTTCAGTTTTTTTAGGCTGGTGGACAGACTCTAAAAAAGACCGACCACAGGAATGCGTGGTCCTGTTTACGCCTGGCATTAACAACTTTGATGATCCTATCACAAGTAGTCAGTACGTCAGTTCATGATGCGTCTTGTTTGCCTAGATGAAATGCACTGTTTTTAACCAGCGGCCCAACAGAAGTAGCCAACACGCTAGGACAAACAGACACAATGTTTTGTATGCAAAGAAATAACTTTACGTACAAAATTTGCCTTTACAAGAAGGCCTAAATAATTAAGAATTTGTCATAGACAGTGTTTCACAAAGTTTTAAGGGAGTCTAGGGATATTGCGGCTTCTGTTCACAAACATCTGCTGCTTATCTTGACCGGTAAGAGAGCCCAAATATCAGAATCAGATTCAGAATCAGAATTATGTTTATTGCCAAGTAGGTTTTTACACCTACGTGGAATGTGACCTGGTCACACAAAAATCACACAGAAGAATAAAATACTTACAAAATATAAATAAAGAAAGATAAGAAAATAAAACTGTGCAGAAGACAGGAGGGCATTAATGTAATGCATACTGTATATACAGGGTGGGTATAAGAGTCAGTGTCAGTGGGGTTCCGGGCCTTGTTAATGAGACCAGCTGCAGACGGAAAGAAACTGTTCTTGTGGCGTGAGGTTTTGGTCCTGATGGACCGCAGCCTCCTGCCAGAGGGAAGTGTTTCAAAGAGTTTGTGTCCGGGGTGGGAGGGGTCAGCCACAATCTTGCCTGCACGCCTCAGTCTGCCCTTGTCCTTGGCAGTGGCAGCAGCGTACCAGATTTGGCAGGTTGAACTTCCCCAGCTGATGCAGGAAGTCAAAGCAATTCAATTCAAATTTTTTTGTATAGCGCTAATTCCTAACAGAAGGTATCTCAGGACACTTTTCAAATAGAGCAGGTCTAGACCGAACTCCTTATAACACTATTTACAGAGACCCAACAGTTCCCACCATAAGCAAGCAC